TGTTTACATCCCAGATTCTCTCCCAACGCACAGTTCATGGGAGAAAATGAGCAGGGAAGAAATCAGAGCTCTGTTACCCAAAGGCTAAACCCACAGTGGTCAAAGAGAAACCTGAACCCAGCCCAGGAGGCCTTCACGATGCATAAGTGTACATTTTGCTGCCATGGGTTACTTAACAACACATCAAACGAGAGACCAGATCTTCTATTAGAGGTGTTCTCAATAGGTGATAAAAAATAATTCCTAATGTGCTTATCTAGCCTTAGATCCCACTTTACATTTCCCAGCTTCAATGAGCATTCATGTCCCGCTCCTCACTGCAGTCCTGAGGGGTGACTGTATCCCCACTGCACAAATGACGGAACTGATCAGACTGTTTCCACGGCCACTCACTGATTGACATGGACAGGACGGAGACTCAACACCGGACCAGCCCTGTGCTGCCTTGACCATTTCTACTTCTGGCTCTTTTAAGCAAAGGATAAAATCCTGATACTTTTGTCACTTCAGGTCTTGAAAAAGAACTAGACAGTCACAAATAAGAAAATAATTTATTTAACTTATTATTTCACACTTAAAAAATACCTATGTATTGTTGGCCACAGTGAAGGACCCACCAATTTGCCAATGGAAGACATGGTGAAATGTTACAGAGAAAGAAGCACTAAAGTAGGAGCCGAAACTCCTGTTTTTTTTCTTACAATAGCTCATTTGATTGCGAACTGGACAAGCCAGTTAACTCCTGAGTGCCTGTGCCCCTTATCTACAAAAAAAGGCATATGAAAGAGCCCGGTGGAACTTTGTGGAGCAGAACTATTACCAGCCTACACTACTGGGATGGTGAGATGAAGAAAAAAATAATCACACATATCTTCAGCTACTTTTTAGTAGTCTCTTTAGGTAATGAGGTTTTTTATTCTAAATACTGTAATCCTGAAGTTAGAAAAGAAACTGAAGGACCTTTTTAAAATCAACCAATGTATTTATCTCTTTCCATTCTTGGTCTAGGGCGCAAATCAAGAGGACCTCCATTTGAGAATAAACCACAGGTGACACAAACATGTCATTGGGGAAGAACTTTCCTTCTCAATGCTGAAGAACAGAGCCAGCCTTTTATCATTTCCAGGTCATAGTCATCCCATCTGTTCCTAACTGACAAGAGAAAAAGATAACAAGAGCTCAAATTACCACTTAAAAAGCAACTAAAATTATAGGCAGTGATCCAGTTGAGCTTTCTTACCAAATGTGCCACCAAAGAAAAATGCCTGCCACCAAAAATACCTGTACCACTAAAGAAAGATAACAAGAACATCTTTTTAAGATAATTCTGTTTTCTGAGAAGTCTAGACCAGACAACATTTGAGGCCATTTCTAGCACTGTATTTGTAAGTATTTACAAATATTTTATCAGAATGAAAAAGGAACCATGTCCAGAAGAAATAAAGACAGACTTTAAAAATGGAAAATGCTAGCTTCCCTCCTCTTCCCCCAAACTCTTAGGCTCAAGATGTCCTCCTGCTTCAGCCTCCTGAATTGCCCAAGACCATAAGCACGTGCCACCATGCCTGGCTTTTCTTTCTTTCTTTCTTTCTTTCTTTCTTTTTTTTTTTTGTAGAGATGGTGTTTCACTATGTTGCTCAGGCTGGTCTCAAACACCCAGCTTCAAGTGATCCTCCTGCTTTGGCCTCCGCAAAAGCTAGGATTACAGGCATAAGCCACTGCGCCTAGAAGAAAATGTTAGCTTTGTATGGAAAATACACAACCTAGAGGGTGGCCCCTGCGGCTCAAAGGAGTAGGGCACCGGCCCCATGTACCAGAGGTGGTGGGTTCAAACTTGGCCCTGGTCAAAAATTGCAAAAAAAAAAAGAAAGAAATACACAACCTAGAATACTATACACTCAAGTACACACACTCCTTCACTTAATCCCAGTCATAGCCGTAAATAGTTACAAATATTTACAAACTACTTTCCAGTGCTATTGTTTTTGTTCGGAACACAAGAGCATGTTATCCATGGAAGGAAGAAGACCCAGGGAAGGAAAGTTTTCAACTCTGAGTTTCCGTGAAAACTTGACTTTGAAGAAAGTAGGTCAAACCGATGCCTCTTTGTTCAAACCAGTAAAAACCTGGAGAAATCACGCAAGTGGGAGCACAACTGTAAACGTTTCTCAAAAGGAATGGCCACGTGTTGTAGACTGTTGTGCACTGAACACTAACGCAAAATGAGGACAGCCTTACTCTCCAGTGGTCCTCTCAAAGACCGTCCTTCCCTCTCCCTAACCCCCCACCAAAAACTCCCTAACAACCCTGAAGTTCAAAGGGTATGATATGAATCCAAGTTTTAGAGAATAAAAGCAAGTGAGAGAAACTTAAGACAAAAGTAAAAAGTACTTCAAGACCTCACCCAGGACCTAAAGGTCTTATTACTGCCAAATTCACTCCACAGTCGGCAACAAATGTATATTGAGCACACTGGCACTAGAGATCAAGGGTAAAGAGACAACCACTTGTCCTCATAGAACCATCTCCTGGGGCAGACAGACAGCAAATAGTAAACAACAAGTGCACAGTCTAATCCCATCCAGTGGACCCACAGATACACTCCTGGGCTGTGGAAAGAAAGGGAAGGGACTAGGGCCTGTCGCAATCAGAGCACTCAGGAACCGTCTCTCTCAGGAAGTGACTGCTGAGCTGAGAGCATAAGAGAAGGAGCCAGCCGAGCAACAGTGAGGAAAGAAAGTCCCAAGTCAGAAGGTGCCACTGTGCCTACAGCACGGACTGTGAAGTGGGGGCCGGGGGTGGCAGCTGTGGAGCTACGCACAGAGTTCTGATCAGCCAAGCCAGGTCTGCGAGAACACAGCCCTCAGAGCCCTTCTGGCCTCTCTAGTGGCACATGGCTTCTCATCAAAAAATCACCCAGTGGCACATTCCTGAAACTCAGGAAGCTGAGGGAGAGGGGGTTGGGAAGAGGAAGGAAAAAGGAAGACAGGGAAGAACAAACAGAGGGAGGGAGAGGGGGAGAAACAGAGGGAGAGAAAGATGGAAGGAGGGAAGGAGGGAGATAGCCACTAGGGAGGAATGTGGTTACAACACTGTGACCAAGTGTACATACTTAGTAACAAAGATGAGAAATACATTGAGAGGGATGCAGCTAATACAGGGCAATTTTCATTTAAAGTTGCTTAAGCTCCCATAATGACTACGTATGGACCATTTTCAAAATAAAACAATGTTGAAGACATAAATGTTTTAAAAGGTGAACTTTCTTAAAATTGAAGAACACACATACTCATATTTTCTTTTCTTCATCATGTGGAATTTTCAACGCACAAAGATCATTAGAGATTTCCTTATTTTAGTTTCATTTAAATGCCTGAGATTTGTATCACTGAGTAACATATTGTCCAATGGAAGAAGACAGAGCACAGGTAATTCCTATAATCAGGTATCAGTATAAAGGTTGAACACCATCCAAAATGTTTCTGCAGGGACTAGAAGCCTCCACCACTAACAACAGAGGCTGTGAAACTCACCCAAAGCTTCATTTTCTCCTATTATCTCAGATATTAAAATGCCACATTGGCAATTGACTCATACTAAAGGATTTGCTCTCCAGGTAGTCACTGATGAGATGTCAAATGCTGTCTGTATCGTCTTGTAGGTCTGAAAACACGTTAGGTTTTCAAGACCATCAACACGGTATTGGGAACAAGGTTCTGATATTCAAAGATTCTACAATGTGTTTCTCCCCCTTGTAATTAAGAATGTAAGTAGTTTTGTATTGAGTACCCACTCCCTGGCAAACAGTGATCTGTTTAAGACGAATTATTAAGAACATATACAAAATGACTTAAGAAAATCATGTAACCCCATTTCAGGATGAATGACGAACAATAAAAAGATCTGTTATATATTTTAAAAAGTTTGAGCGTACTTCAATTCAAATGGAATTTCCTAGACCTGCTATTTTATTCTTGAAAGTTGAAAACTCCATCAGCAATTGTCTATTTTTTATAGTATCCCCTGGATCAAAATAACAGAGCAAATAAAAACAAAGGATGATCACTGAGAACGTACTAGAAATGTCACTGAATTATACACTTTAAAATGACTCATTGTACATGAATTTTGCCTCGATCAGAACAAAAAAAGAATAAAGTCACCAGTATATAAATATTTACGTGATAGAAAATATAGCAAATCTAAGCAACGAAGTGCTGAGGTTGCCCAACCAAAACAGAATAACAATAAAAAGTCGTATTCATGATTAATATCTGAGATTTCCTTAAAAAGAACATGGAAGACAAAAGCACATGGGGGAATGGGAGGATATGGCTGAACAAGAGTGGCTGGAAGTTAATACCTTGAGATTGGGTGATGGGCACAGGGAGTTCATTAAACAGTGTAGCCATAAAGTTCGTGTGCAATACTGATCACACGCAAACGTTATGGCCACCTGTATTATTCCTTCCACTTCTGCCTATGTTCAAAGCTGTCCATAGTGAACAGCTTCATAAAAATTTATATTTTTACTCTGGGTCTAATCCTTGAGCTACAAACATAGGTATAGCACTGGGGACCTAAGAAGCTTAAAAGTGAATCAGAAAACCTGCAAAATTAGCATCTTGATTTAGTGTTAACAGACAGTGTTTTTCAACCTTTTTTATCTCACGCACACTTGAACCTATAGTTAAACTTCCATGGCATTCCCCAATTATATTGATCAAAAAAAAAAAATGAAAAAAATAATATACTTATTGTACTTTGAGCCTCTTCAAAAATAATTAATGATCTTTAAATAATTTTCGAGGCACACCCAAGATCCTATCACAACACACCAGTTGAAAATCATTGTTATAAGATCATGTGACTTCTAACATTATCCACTGTTAACTTATTTTTTTGATGAACAAGGAAGCTTAAACATTTCTTCAATGGTTTATTCAAACAGACTTCAGACATAGGACATCTTACATAAGATAAATAAGATCAGTACATACCAGGAGTATCATAGGCCTTTTCCAAGTTGTTAATCCTATGATCCCAGAAAGTATCACCTGCAAAGGATAAACACTTTCATAAATCTAGAAAATGGACTGATTCCAATAAACTAATCCCCAGTCCCAAAAGAATATACTTTTAAAAATATTGAAATTTCAAAGCATTCTAAATCTAACATTTAACATTCTTTGTGGTTACACGAACCCTGGTAGACCACTGTCTTCTGCTTCTAAGCCTCCAAAGCCTTCTTATTGACTGTGTATGTTTTTTCTTTATGCCAGAACAAACAGAAATTAGCCTTTCCTGGTCAGTGAAGGAATTCATATTTCTGATCCGACTCCCTGCTCCCCGTAACACCCAATCTGGTGCCAGGATCAGCCTCATAAGATACACTGGTGGCTGTATCCCTTCCCTTGTTAGGGGGGTACTCATCTCTTGTGGCTGTATCCCTTCCCTTGTTAGGGGGGTACTCATCTCTTGTGGCTGTATC